CAACAGTGAAAACCTCGGACAGGAGGAAGAGTGCCATTGGGTGGGCAGGCAGTGTCTTGCTCGGCTGTGCCTTGGGGGGCACTTTTTTCAGTGCTATTGTAACTTCAAATAGTCACTAAGCAAACTATTGTAAGTCGAGGACTACCTGTACTTTATCACTTTTGGGGGGGGTCATCAAGTTTTTGACATCTCGCTAGGCGACTGGTGGTACTCAGATGTTGCCATATCCTAAAAGTGGTACAATGGGTGAAAAGGTTGAAAAGCCTTGATCTAGAGGTGCGTATTTGCTTTTCATTCTGATTAGCACGCCAAAAAGTAAAGCAGGGATCAAATTCAGTGTGAAAGATATGCTGCTGTTACTTTTGCTCAGTTTCTTGATTATACGGGCTTTGAAACTTTATCAGCACATAAGAAAAAGCTTTCCAACCCCTCTTCCCCACATGCCATTGGCTGGGACATCTGCATTGTTTTGTTGCTTGTTAGTGGATAAGGCATTTATCTTATGCTCAGACTACATCAACAAGGTCAATTTTGTTTCCAGCCTGTAAGAATATGATTCCGCAGATGAATTAAGCCCTGATTGAAAAGTTGCCTTTTCAAATGGCTAATCACATTTTATTTCAAGGCACACCAAAAGGAATTACTTGTTTGCACATTTCAAACAACAAAATAGGAAATGTTGGTAAGCTTAGGAAGGAAGTTCAGGGGGCAGTCAGGTAAAGATTTGAAGAAAAAATATGCTAGGGGCTTATAAGAAACTGTTTCTGAGATGGTTTTCTGTTCCATAGAATGAAATCTTGCGTGTGTCCAAATGTTTTAGCATGAGAATTTGGGGGATATTGGATATGGTTGTTAGTCATAACCCAAATTTGATGGCACAAATTTGCAGAACATTGAACAGAACAGGAACAAGGAGTGTGGTCCAAATGTCTGGGACTATTCCTTGATCTTCAGCTGTCACTCTATTCCCAGACGGGCACTGTGGCATGGAACACCTGTCCTCATGATGGTTGGTACCATCAGCGATACAACTGATCCCCAACGGGTCCAATTTGGCATTTTTTATCCATACCCTAGTTGCATCCCATCCTTACTACTGCAGTGCATAGTACGTGATTCTATCCTTAAAAGCATTTTCAGAAGTGATTTGACTGGGCTGCTAAGCTGTTCAAAATATAGGGATCATAAAATTCATCTGAATGTATTGGAATTAATCCTAAAGTCTGACACAGGTATCTGAAGGACTGCCTCTCCCATCATGAACCTGTCTGTCCACAAAGATCAATCAACACACGAGTTCCTTCTCAAGACACCCTTAATGTCAGAGATTTATCCATTTGGGATGTTCAGAAGGACCTTCTTCTTCTTTGTCATGCTAGGAATTTCTTTGGGGGCTCTTCTGTATGTCCCTAAAAAGTTGCATTTTGGGCCCTACTCTCTCTATACTTAGTAAATCTGTCAAGACGCATTTCTCTTCTCATGCTTTTAATTGCTAATTAATTTTAACTTTTCTTTAAAAAAACATAGTCTGTATGTTCATTGTTGTTAGCTATTCTAAGTAGAAAGATGGGAGTAAATAAGACCTGCATTTCGATCTGAGCGACTCTTGGCCCTGACCAAAATGTTAAGCGACGTTCCCAGTTTCCTCACTCTTCATTGGTTCGGGGTAGGCAACCTTGGCTCTTTTATGATTCGTAGACTTCAACTCCCAGAATTCCTGGAAGTTGAAGTTCCCGAGTCATAAAAGAGCCAAGGTTGTCTACCCCTGGGGTGAAGGTTGTTTATCCACATTTGATGGGCAAATGATTCTGACACTTCCTCAGAAGCCAAATAAGAATAACATCACCATATTATCATGAGAGAAAATGTATGTAAAAACAAATACTTTATCAAGTAAGAAATAGCACTTCTTTGGGGAAAAAAATATAAGAAAAGATAGCTACTTTCATCATTTGGAATCACTTAGTGATTGTTTTTCAAGTCATGGTATTATAGACATTATAGCCTGTTGAGTAGACCTAGATTCAAGCTTTCAGTTGATCATAGAGTTGGCTCATAGCTGGTACTATCTTTTAGCTAATCTACCTCAACTCTAGGAATACCAGAGAGAACAAGACTCTATGTAAGCCATGAAGATCTCTAAAGAGAAAAAGTAGCGTCTCAATAAAGAGATGAAGAATTCTTAAAAAAAAATCAGGGACAAACCATCCATTTTGTAGGACTGTGCTTTTGATGGTGGAAAATTTATGGAAGCATCCACAGAAAACCAAAATTATGACTTACCTGGAAACGGGCTGTGCATAAATGTGCACGCTGCTTGGTTTCTCCAACCACCAAGCAAAATTGAAAAAGACCTGTTTTGTGTTGAGAGTATGAACCAGGAAATTGTCATAAGCCGGGAAAAGCTTCTGACTTTACCTTGTTAGGAATAGCATAAACTGTCTGACTTTGTTAACAAGGCTGGCTAGAAGTCAGATGAGCATGGTGCTCATTTCTGGATAAGGTAGATGACGCCTTTCTATATAAAGCCATCTAGACGCTCCTCCAGAAAGTTCCCATCTTCTTCCAAGTACATACTCACTTTCAGAAACCAGAGTTTTGTCAGGATCTCTCAAAAACCCTGTTGTACACTCCCATCATATCATTGACAAAATAATAACAAAGCAAGGTTTGGGGAAAAAGCAAAGCAAAAGCAAGCAGGTCTATAAAAATTGTACCAGCTTCTTGATTGTATCTCCTGTAAACCAAGATCTGGAGGTGTCCACATGTGGCAATGGGGTCTTGCAGTACTTATCCTACTCAAGAACTGCTTCCCATTCTGTGTTTTGCTTCCCCAAAGGGTGAAAAAAAAATAAAACAGTTCCCTTGGTTGGCACATAATCTCTAAATCTTATAAGCAATGGAAACAATTTTTCAGTCCAAGCAGATTGGCAGTTGAGATCACTGGTTTTGCATACTGTAGGGAGCTAAACATTTACCTTATTAAAAGACTGCCCTCCAAAACACAGCGCAGTTAAATAAACTGTTACCACTGTAATTGTTTTACAAGCATACTGCTGATAATATTATGAATTACCACTAATGTCTAGTTAGTAAATTAATACAGGAGTATCATTTAGTGTTAATTCCAGCGAGTTTCCTGAAGTTAAGTATATGAAGAGGGATTAGTTTCCTTCAAGACTGAAATGTGCCTAACAAGAAGGAGTGTATCACACACAGCAGTGGAGAAAACAACACCATAAAGCGGAATGCCAGAAATAGTCTGAAGTTGCATGGTTTGTCTGCTTGAGAACTCACCAGCCCGGGACCTAGAAAAAAATAGATCTTGGGCTTCAAGTGAAAGAAGTAGAAATAAAGATGATAGTGGGACATTAAAGCAGTTTGATTCTAAGACCTTATAAGCCCTGCTCCCAGACTGATTTTTTTTTCCTTCTTAGAAGTCCACTCATCTAAAGTCCATGAGGTCATTGTCACCCTAATGTTTATTAATAATACCTTAATCAATTAGTAATAAGCCATAATTGATAGCAGCTTTTATCAACTTTGCTAGATTATCACCCGAGAGTTATCCACCGCAAAGATTTAAATGCTTCATTTTATTTTTAACTTTCCTTTTTCTCTATTTCAGTAATGTCAGGCAAAGATCTATGGTTTTACTATATGAACAAATGATGGGGCAGAATAATTTATGACTTTGGCTCCAGCTTTCAGGAAAGCTATTTCCAATCTTCACCTCTGATTTGGTTTATCAAAAGCTACTCAAACTAATAGCAGAGTTACTCAGAAGTAGAAGATTTTACTACACCTCAAGGAGCGTTAGACATAGTCTATTTCCAAAATTTAACCTGTCTGCCAAGAAAGCCTATTACAGATTGAATAAATTAACTCAACATGCACAAGACCTGCCGTTGTGGTTTTGGATTGTAGGCCAGTGGGTGAGTATACGCATAGGAGGAAAGCAGCAAGGACCTGTTGTGGCTGTGGGTCACCCTAGTAAATGATACCACCAGAAATATACTAAAGGCCTGTGATGGGAACACATTTCAAAAGATTTCCTTGGATCAATAAGAATGAGACATAATTTGACATAGTTGTTTCCCTGCATACATTTAGTTAGAGAGGTATAAGCAACAGCATGAATGGTTCATCTCTGGTGCTCCTCTGAGACTTGTGGACATTTACACACTTTCTTTCCATCAGTAAGCCCTAAAGGCCACAATGACTGAGGAACAAGAGTGCACACACCACAATCAGTCAGTTCCCAGATCCTTGAGAGGCTAAACTATGTCCAATGAATTTGAACCTTGCAAGTTCATTAGTGATGTGGACCAGGGGTCCCCAATCCCCAGTCCGTGGACTGGTACCAGGTTGTGGCATGCCAACAACTGGTCCGCACAAACAAGCAAAGCCCCATCCGTGGGATGCAGGCAGCATACAAACCCACGCACTCTCTGGGCCACGGAAGAACTTTTCTCCATGGAACCGGTCCCTGGTGCCCAAAAGGTTGGGGACCCCTGATGTAGACTCAATAGAGCAGGGGTCTTCAAACTTGGTCCTTTTATGACTTGTGGACTTCAACTCCGAGAATTCCTCAGCCAGGCACGCTGGCTGAGGAATTCTGGGAGTTGAAGTCCACAAGTCATAAAAGGACCAAGTTTGAAGACCCCTGCAATAGAGCAAAACCTGCTTGCTCGAATATCAAGTGAAGATTTTGCTTCAAACTTTTGGCCCCAATGCTTTCTTTTTATTGGAAAGAAGGAGTCAGGCTATTGCTCTATCATTTCATCTCCATGCCGGCCATTTTTAAAGACCCTTCCCTACCCCTCTTTATACCTAAAATTGCAGGAGTCAACTTTCTCCAGGAGTTAACGTCCTCCCCCTGTCTAGAAGACAGAAGTTTGTCCTAATGAAGAAAGAGTCATTGTCAAGCAGCGGCCCTGATATGCCAGGGAAACAAGGAAAGGAGGGGTTATTCAGCAAAGAATGCAAGCATATCTTACCTTAGCAGCTTAACTGCATACTTGTTTTAAGGACTGTCAGTCTGGTTAGCAATCACTCGGTGAAAAGATGCAGCCGAGCTTGGCACTGACAGATTGCCAAGGGGGCGTCCCACTTCCCTATCACAAAAGAAAATAAAGAAAAGGAACGGTGTAAAGTGAAAAGTAGCAAATTTGCCACATCACAGCAATATGCAGAGGTCAAGGGAAATTCGGGGGGGGGGGGTAGGTTAAAGACCGAAATCAGATCTGGGGTAGGAGAATGGCAATCTATCCTAAAGCAAGGCCAGCGGTGACGTGGGGCAGACAAGAAGCTAAATACTGCATAGCGCTGGGATCATTCATTTTCATCAGATCAATAAAAGCTTATATTTATCAGGATTCTAAGCAGCTGTCACTTCTGACAACCTCTACTATTTCCCTCCCTCCTTCTGCTAGATCAGGGCAAAGGGAAGCAAGAGAGGGGGGGGGGAGCCACTTTTAATGCTATTTACACCTGAAGTCACAATTCCATTAAGAGGACCTGTTTTGTTAAAGAAACAGGAATTGATATTATTATATTGGCAGGAGCTGGAAACTCTCTTTGTTCTTCTCTCCATGTTTTTTCTCCCCTTTGCAATCCAGACTCAGCAAGAAGATTTTCTGACATTAAGTGCACTTTTTTTTGGGGGGGGGGGTGTTCAAACTTACCATTTACAAAGAGAAGAGAGGCTTGCTGCTAAAACAGTTACTACTCTAATCATCTGTACAACAATATTTGCTATCAGGCATTCTAAATAGATTATCACCAGTCCATCTGTGTCATTATTGATTTATAAGGCTTTAAGCGGCTTTAAAATGGAAGCTTTCCCACTGAGGGGGTTTCTTGTATAAATCAGAAGCATGCTCAAATATAGCAGCCATCACTCAAGAAGAGTGTCCATGTGTGCATGCACATATTGTGCGAGTGTGTGTGTGTGTGTGTGTGTGCACACACACACACACACACACACACACACACATATATATATTCATTTACCACCCCCTTAACTCATAACAAGAATGAGAAGATGATAAATTGCTTGTAATATACTGATCCAAACTGATATGCAAATTTTGGTTTTTTTTTAAATATATGACTTGAGTAAAAAGAAGCATCATTAACATATGAATGCTCTATGCAAATGATCGTGACAGAGCAGATGTTGCTGCATGTAATTGACCTATATTGAGAATTGCATCAGAACCCTTAACTCTATTAATTCACTACCCAGTAACTAGATATTGTCCCCAAAAAAGTGCATTCTTTGAAACCATACACTGGAAGTAAATCTGACAGAGTTCCAAGGATATTGGAACAAGGTCACTGTCACCCGTATTTTGCTGTCATCTGCATTCTGCTCCTTATGCATGACATCATCGAGTGCCTGTGTAAATCGATCACTTAATAGCATTTAGAAAAATACTGCAGTAGGGAACAGGTTAGGGGAGGAAATTGCCCCAGTTTTATTTTGTCTCTTGGCAGAAATGTCATACCTTTTAAACTGAGGGCTTTTTTTTTTTTTTTTTGCATGAGTGCACTGTGAAACACACAGATGCCATTTTATTCCCTGTCTTTATTTCCCCCCCCCCTTCTTCTCCGAATGACATTAAATTGTATTAAATAGCCTTTTGTCCACAGGGCACAGACCACCCTGTATATGATAATGTATTAATGCCCCCACGTTCTAACCACTGAGCTGAAACATTCGGAGACTTAGAGGAGAAGTATGAAGCTTCATTGTGTGTGTGTGTATTGCCTGCTAACAACTGTGACACATACTAATAGAAACATACCTAATAAATTACTGCTTTCAGGTCTACCAAGCTGACATTTCTCTGCAAGGGACAATTTTATATTTGTGGCACAGAACAAAATTGCTTCATATGAAGCTACTGTGGATTAGCATAAAAATTAACACTTAAATTTCAGCTTATTTTCTACCCTCTCTTCCTGCCACAACAATCAATTCCTCTTATAAATCTGATTAGATTTTATGATGCTTATTATTCAAAGCATGTCTCAACACAGCATCCACAGAGCTTGAAGACTATTTGTTTAAATGTGGGAGGGGGGGGGAAGCAGCAGATAAATCTATAGGTATTTTTATTACCCCATTCCCAACCAGTTTCTTTCTCATATTGTAACATCAGTAATTGATTGCACACATTAATTAACATGTAAGGTAGGATTTCTGCATTATGCATGATTTATTTTCCTATCTAGTTAGTAGCATTGTCTGCTGACCTTGTGCTGCTAGGACATTGGACTCCATTTGGGTCCACACATAAATGCCAATGTTCATTCCCCCGAAAGTTATTAATGTCAGATATGAAATGAGATTTTTGATTTCACCTGCTTGCTAAATCGCAAAAGCTGTTGTTCCCCAAAAAGCAGGCTTAAAAATCTGGACATCTGAAAATGGCCCATTGCTGAATCTAGTTCATGAGATACAGTTTGGCAGGAGAGAATTGGCAATATACTAAAATATGCCCAGAAATAAATAAATAAATAAATAAGCTGTTAATTAGACAAATCATGAAAAATGGACATTGTACATAAAATGTCTACCATTGTACATACGGTCTCCCACTTGACATAATAGAAACCTGATCTGACAGAATGCCAAGTGGTTGGATTGATTTTTTTTAAAAAAAAAAACCCTGACGTTAAATTAAAAAACAACTTTCCCAACCATTTAATATTTTACACTAAGAAATTACCTTAAAACTGCATATCAAAGCTCCAGCACAAGCTTTGATGTCCATATGGTGCATCTGTGTTAGCAGAAGGAGCAATGGAAGTTACCTTTCATTGTCGGGTTCCGGGTCTCACTCTAACACAATATTGTTGACAATGACTGGAAGTGAATCTCTAAAGCACCAAGTGTGTGTTCTACTCCTGAATCACATCTCAGAAGACTGAGGAATAAAGTTATGGGAGTTTTGGAGACTATTTGGATCTGCATAGCCTTCTTTGTCCTTTATTTTGAATCTGGGGGGGGGGGAGAGACTCTATTTGAAGGACTGCCCAGTTGGTGTTGACTCTAAAGGCAGCCTTCTTTTATTCCCCTTTCCAAAAGAAATTATGCATAATCCATCACAAGACTGGAATCCCTTAGGCCAGCATGGAAAATAGCTATTCACTTTAACATCTACCCAGTTTAATTCTGAGAATGACTGGAGAGATGAATGGTTCAAGGCACCTTTTTGGGACCTGACCATTAGTGATCCCTCTACCAAACGTCCTGGTTTTGATCTGCATCACTGTGTCTGGACAAAATTAAATACTGTCCTTTATCAGTGAGGATGGAAGGATTCCCCTTGCTACGATTGTGGTGCCGATGTGCAAACTGTTAAACGTACTGTGCAAGATTGCCCACGACGTGCGTTCTCTAGTTCCCTAGAATATCTGCATGAAGCAACACCAAAGGCGATTGCCTGGATAGCTGAATTGTACATCCAGTTATGAGGCCACTGACATACCCCCATAGAGGTTTTTGTACATAATTATGTGGATTGTGTATATATGTTTCCTTCTCTTCCATCATGTTCTCATCCTACGCTAAATAAATAAATAATGGGAATTGTGACAAGGAGATTAGAGGTCTATTGGCCCTAAGTGATGACACTTCTCCCATATTCATTCAATTATGAGTGTTTTCTCTTTAAATAATGAGCAGGAGATTTAACTCAGTACGCGTTGCCCAGTAAGGCCATCTAGGGACTGTTGCTTCCTTCTCTGTGACCTATTGAGAAGCAGAATATAGACATTATCTGAGAGTTGATTATCCTCAAAATTTCCTTTTCAACAGAGCGTTATTTCCAGTCCAAATGTATCTAGCTTTGCCTCCAACCCAGTGGATTGTGTTAAAGAGCCATCTGCTATCAGAAACCATGAAGGTACTTACCAAACCCACTCATAATAAAGGAGAATGGTTTAGATAAAAAGAGGCTGAGAATTAGCTCTACATGCTCTGACTTTTAGCTCTCAAAAAGACCTCTATTTTTGTCAATAGTATTTCAAAGGTACATATTAGAGGGGAGGAATCTTAGCTACTTTACCGCTGTTCAAATCAGTGGGAACCACGCAACCCAAAACGAATGCAATGCTTTAAAGCGAAACAACCAATACTTATTGTTCATATACAGCGGACATTTTTCAGACCTCCATTTTTACCATTGTTTCGTTCCCACAGGAGGGTTATTAGTGACTTTTATGACTATAATCACTTGCCAATTTGACATTGGGGAAAAACATGGGTCCCTTTCACACCTCTGCCATCCCAAAAATAATGGAGCTAGATGCTGGATGCAAAGGTTCCTTCCAAATCCGGGACCCTCTGAATTTGTTGGGTGTCAACTCCCAGAATTCTGAAATAGGCTGGGCATTGACTGTGGTGGTTGGGAATATCAGTTCAATATCAGACCTGTTCACAGGAGCACCAGCTATGGAAGGCATCTTTATATCATCCCACTGAATGGTTCTTCTATGTATTTGCTTCTTTAATAAATTTATTGGCTGACTATCCTATGACAGGGAAACTCTAGGCAGTGTATAATAATGTTAAAAAGAGGGGTCCTGGGTGCTCTCCAAGCTTGCTTGTATTATTGCAAATGTTTCATTACCCAAACTAGCTAACCTCAGTCCAGCGTTGATGATGTTACCTAGTTTGGGTCATGAAACGTCTGCAAGAAAACAATCAAGCTTGGAGAACACCAAGGGTCCTTCATTTCAACCCCGAGCTACAAATATTCTCCTTTAACATTTAAAAGGATAAAACTATACAAAACCTGTATATAATATGAATAAAATGCTATACAAATATCAATTATCAACTTGAATTAAAACATGGGGAGGGAGGGAGGAAGTAGGACAGTGGTGGCAAACCTACGGCATGCATGCCAGAGGTGGCACTCGGAGCCCTCTCTGTGGGCACACGTGCCATTGCCCATTTGTTTAGCAGCTGTTCAAAGTTACAAGGATGAGGCTTACGACCGATCCACATGGTTACAATCGTTGTTGCAGCATCCCCCATGGGTTATGTGATCAAAATTTCGGTTAACAAGGGTTGAAGTGTCCCGGGTCCATGTGTTCACAC